GCAGGCGGCAAACTTTCGGCGACGCTTTTAATAAACTTTCTGGCCTGGCATTGCAATGAGTTTATGCAAATTGTACACAAATACAAGTGGGATGGAGCCCGAGGCGAAGGGCAATAACAACAAATTTCAATTATGCCATAAAATCTATTTAGGTGTATAAATATTTGGAAAATTTGTTGTACGCCACAAAAGTTGGTCGTCTCCGGCGTTGCGTTGGCGTGTAATTTACAGATTTTCTCGTTAAGATTACGCCAAAAGTTTGCGCCATTGTAGTGCCGGTTCTCGACATTGACGCATAATTGGCAGCAACATGAAAAGTCAATAAACGAATCAAAACAACAAACGGTTACGCCTACTCGAACGCACACAGCAACACACGCCTTTGCCATGTTGGACATGTTGTAAAATAAATTTTTGCTGCGGCCCGAAAGTTGAAGCTCATAAAATTGTTTTGTATTGTAAAACGTAATTAGAATTGCGGCTATGTACATTTCACTAAATTTGATTTCAATTAGAAAGCATAAATGGCCCTGCTGTGAAGACCTCAGGGTCAAGCTCTCCAGCAACCAACTATACAGATATGCCCCCCCCCCCCCCCCGGGTTCATTAACCAAATGAAGTGTGTTCGTGTGCCAGGCCAGCACAAAAGTTCGCTCAAACATGCAAAAACACTTGACGCAGCTTATGTCCGGGAGCCAGGACTTGTCCGTTATGCGAAAGTTGATTTAATGTTGCCTACTTTGAGGCGCTCGTTGAAGCACTGCAAATAATCAAGTATACGCCTAGTGTGCATTAAGTGCTGTTTGCTAACTCTTCTTCCGTATTACTAGCTCAATTTACTTAATTAATAAAAATGCCCAAATGAATGAGCCCACGCAAATAACATGAAATTGTACGTCAACTTGGCTAGAGTACATGAATTAGATTAGATTTGAGGGGCATATATATTGGGCCTAAATATAATGCTATATAATTACAGGAACAGAATATGTAAAGAGAAACCCGGATTTATTTTGCTTTGTACATTTGGGACCACATTTTTATACTGGCTTTTAGAATTTAAGTCCATTTTGCCTCCACTTTTTGATAACTCGCCCGCTGCGTTGCAAATTAAAGAAAAGTAATTTAAAAAGCGCTCCCCTACGCGATTCTCATGATTCCAAGCAAGCCTGACAGGTTTTCATGCTTTCAGCATGTGTTAGATTTAAAAGTTCAGTTGACACTTTTTTAAACTTTATCTTTATTTTATTTGTTTTCCTACACTATAAAAGTTAACTACTTAAAAAAATTCTTTTGCATATGTGTATTTTTTTGTATACATATATATTTATGTTTAAATATTCAATACATACACTTATTATGTATTGGTAATGCCTTTTTACTTCAGCCAATCGACGAGCAGCTGGCAGTTTTGCCCGCGATATATACTCCTTACATTGAGTTGGTCGCATCAAAAACACGTTTGCCCATGTGCCGCACATGGATCTGAAGTGGCTTGGCCATTTACTTTATTGATTACAGATTTTGCTTGCCATTGATTGTAGCTCAAGTGTGCGGAGGCGGCACAACTTTTATGCAGCCGAAAGGAAAGAAGTAGAAACAATTTGGCTGTTTTGTTATTTGTTATTGGAAATCGAGCAAAGCCGGAAACGTAGGCAGCTATAGAAACTGGCACAATAGCCCGTTGTCTATGCTCCGGCTCGAGCCACAAAACGAGGCAAAGTTGCCTTCGGCCAATTTCTGTTGATTAGAGTAACTGCTGGGGCTTTTGTTATTGTAAGTGCGCACTCCATATTAAATGGCCGCAAATTGCATAAATACATTTTCAATATACGCATGTGTCTCAATATGAAATGGATATATATCTGAAAATAAATAAGTGCGGGGCAAACCTTCATAATTTATGTAGTTTATCACATGCTATTTTTTTGCTGCTTGTTGTTCTTGTCAGCTCGGGCAGGCGGGATGAAAGCCAATGCCGGCGCATTTGTGTCAATTTAAATTTATGTAAACATAAAATGGCCAACCAAATGTCCTGCGAGCTGCTGCACGGCTGGGCATCACATATTTCATATAAATATTTTGCCTTATTTTTTGCGCCTTTTTTTTATATTTTTTATATATATGATTTAATGCGTGCGGCACGCCATGACGTTCACTTAGGCATGGACACAATAAAAATGTTGCCACAACAACAGCAGCAGCAGGAGTAGCAGCAGGAGCAGCAGCAGGACACGCTCGCCTCTTGCGCACTTTTGACATTTCATTATCCTGTTAAGTATTCAAAAGTCAACCAAGCAGCCAGCCCCAACACACAGACGCACAAATTGTGGGCGCTCCCCTGGCCCGTTGGCTGTGTGTCCGTGTCTGCCCTCCCCGCCCCACCCTGGACACGCCTCCGCTGTTGTCATTCAGCTGCGTAGCCAGCTTATCATTTATGCCGAGCGCGTACTTTTGGCTTTTACCCCGCAGACCACGCCTCCTACCGGCCCGCTCCGTGCTGCCCATTGTTGTATTGCCGTTTGTTTTGTCTGCCCGTAATGTCATGCGGAATTGCCTTTGTGTCCTTGGCGTTTATGACATTATATTTGTGTGTTCTGCTTGTGTGTGTGCGTGCGTGCATGTGTGTGTGTGCGTGTGTGTGTATAAATTACATTACACAACAAGCAATATAACAAACGATAACAAACACCTTGCAAAGAAAATATAAAAATAAACAAAACAGTCAAGAAAAAACAATATAATAAAAATGTTTTTTGGCCCTTCGATTTCGCTCGGGCCTGCTTTATGTTATGTAATTTGCTTATGACATGGCTAATGACAGTCATTGCCTCCTGTTCAAGGACCTTATTTTTATTTTCGGTAGGGTGAGAGAATGTGGCTACTGTTGCTGTCAGTTGGTGTGCCTGACATTGCATTAGCTTGCTGCATTTAGCTGACAAAAATGTCGAAATGTTGTTTCCAATGGCAATTTTTAGTATTTTACCATTTCGATTTTCAACCAATTCCATTTTCATTTTCATTTTGTGTTCAGCCCAGCGCACGTGCTTCCCGTGTGCTCTTGAGTCTGAATGTCGGGTTCATTGGCAAATTTCCTGTGTATTTGTCATCGATTGATTAAAATTGCGAAATGCACAACACAAGTGATGGCAATAAGGATATAAGCCAAGCGCTCGACACAAATTCTATTTGCAGTGTGAACCCCTTTTACAATGTTCAACAATAAATAAAGGAGTCTCTGGCCACAAGCTAAGCGGGGGCTAGTCTGGGTTAGTCTGGGTTGTAGGTGCATCCGTCTACATAATCGTTTCGTTTTCTCTTTATGTATGGATGCCAAAACTGCAATGAGTACCAACGGCGTATATGAATGGGGCTAGCTTTTATATGAGTACTATAGAGTAGTCTCTTAAAGTGCTTATGAGTGTAAATGAGTGCTCATAGACAAATTCCATAAACTCTTGTGTGATATGTACCATGATCGCTTTTGTCTAGCGTGAAGTCTAGTCTAGGCTCTGAAAGCGTACTGGTTATCTATTAGTATAATTAAGTATTCATAAACATAATGAGAGATTCCATACAGTCTCTTGGAATATTTTCTGAATTTATTATTTGACTGGGGTGACGTGTAGTCTTCTCTACTCTAGTGTCTAAAAGTGTACTTAAGAATAGTAGTCTGGCAAATGTCTATGAGTAAAAATGAGTACTCATACGTGAAGCGAAATATTTCATATAGCATCCTTTGTACATATCTTTCATATGCAAACCTTGTTTATTACACGGCTAGCGTGAATTATAGTCTTGGGTCCAAAAGCGTACTTTTGAGTAGTCTGAAAATATGTCGATGATTATAAATGAATAGTCATAAGGGACCTGATAGATTTAATCTTTTTTCTCGGGTTGGTATATTCCATTTGCTATCCTTATTATTTTTCGACTGGTATCTAGTCTAGTCTAGGTAAATTGGAAAATTTTCGATGATTATAAATGAAAAGTATTTTGTGCGAAGGGATATAAGCACTAAATACATGTGTATGTGTGTATGTGTGTGTGGGCGTGTGTGTGTTAGTGCATGCATGCATGTATGTATGCATTTATGTATATATGTACATATGTATGCATACATGTTTCTTTTAAAATACCAAACGCAGACTAAGCTTATTTGTCGCTGTGCTGCATATTTAAATAAAACGAATTTCTACCAAGTGCTCTACTCCTCGATTCTCAAGAATTCAAGTAGGCTCTGCAGTTTTTCATGCTTAGTCAGTAGGGTAGTGCTCCAACGGCCAGTGGAGGAGCAACTGGCGGTATGTATGTATGTATGTATGTATGTATGTATGTATGTATGTATGTATGTATGTATGTATGTATGTATGTATGTATGTATGTATGTATGTATGTATGTATGTATGTATGTATGTATGTATGTATGTATGTATGTATGTATGTATGTATGTATGTATGTATGTATGTATGTATGTATGTATGTATGTATGTATGTATGTATGTATGTATGTAAGTATGTTTGCATGTATGCATGTATGCATGTATGCATGTATGCATGTATGCATGTATGCATGTATGTATGTATGTATGTGTGCATGCATGCATGCACGTGTCCGGACATGTAGTCATACATGTTTCATAGTCTTTCGTTTAAAAGCGTTCGTTTGAGTAGTCTGGTAAAATGTCTATGAATATAAATGAGTACTCTTAAGAATAAAGAAAATACTGCATTCGCAGCAGGATGCTATTTATTAACTTGCCTTAATGCCTCGGTTAGACGTCTTTTCTATTGAGGACTCCATCGTTACTTAAAATGATTCAATTTACCAGGTATCCGCTGCTTATTGATTTATCTGCAATCTCAAGTGCTAGAATCTGCAACTCTGTATCTGTTTAAGCATCTTAAAAGCAATCACTGCCAACGAGCTGACTGGCATACATATAAGTTTTAAATCCTTTTATTTTTACTTATACATATTTTTATTTTTTTTTTGCAGACAGCACCTTAGCTGGCAGGCAAGTAGTCACCGAGTCGCCGAGTCGCCGCATCTTCGAGTCAGCCTTGGAGCAGCCAATGCAACCAACACAGACACGTGAGTATAAAGCAGTTACCAAAGGCTGCACAGGTACCGATGTATATATATATCAATTTGTATGTGAGTGTGTATGTGCATGTGTATGTGTATCGGCACTATATATCTTGGACATGTGTTGACCATCAACTTATGCAATCAACCATTTGGCTTTGACCAGGCGAACGGCAGTCCGTTTGGGTGCTATGTAAACTAGAGACGTGAACGACCACGTGGACGCGGGGAGACCCTGATGGTGACGACTAGGACGGGTTCCGACCACGACGACAAATGTTTATTTAAGCATAAAGCCACGTACGCTGCAATCACACAGCTCTACACCCACCCACACACACACATATGCACACACACAGACAAGCTAGGGGCACATATGTGTCTTAGTGTGTGTGTGTGTGTTTATGTACTTAGGCGCAGCTGTACTTGGAGACTTTGTCTGGTAATTACATACAGCATGTGAGTTCAACACACATTCTTTTTGGCCCAAACTCGTCCCATGCTTGCCCCCCCCCCCCCGGACGCCCCCTCTCCGACTGGGGTTGCTGCATAAATATTTGTTTTAACCTTTTTACCCTTTTGTGGCCAATGGCTTTGTATTTGCTTTTGGTTTTATGGCAGCGGCTGTGTCACTATTTCATTTCGATTTAAACAAACTTTGCCACGCTCTTTGCTGATTTTGTGCCCCTAATTTATTTATTTGCGATCCTGCTGATATTTAGTAATTGAGTTTTTCTTTCTTTTTTGTTGCTCTTAATGCTGATGAGGGTTCTGGCTAGATGGGTGCAAAGTGTTGCACACAGCTCTTGTAGACTCGGCACGTTTCACAACAAATGTGACTCAGTTGCCCTGCTTAAGGATATTTATGTGGACAGCGTGTGCGACAGCAACAGGAGCAACAGCAGCAGCAGCAACAGCAGCAGCAGCAGCAGCATCCGGCTGAAAGGATACTCCTGCCACTGGTTAATACAATAAACTTTGAATAAAAGTGTCTCCCTGGGGGCAACTCGATGTCGTTGCCATGCTTCTGGCCGTGTCGTCGTCTGTTTAGACTTTTTGTCTTAATTTATCGTTATGAATGAATCACTTTGTGCCATTTGGCGGCTGCTCGGGACCCATTGTGTCTATGTGTGTTTGCCAGCACGTAGCCAGGATGTGCTCGCACTTTTGACTTAATTTGATTTGCTCAAATGAATTTCAATTAAACAGAAATGAAATTTATGCGCCGACAACAACTCTAAACTTCAAACTGCAGAACTGAATGAAGACAAATGCGATCAACAGCAATCGCCAAATAGACCTGCTGAATAGCTGAGAAATCGACTACTTATCAGTGGCCATAGAAAGTGTCTTCATTTTCGCCTGAATCAAATTTCTATTCATTTTCATTTCACTATTGATTTCATGTCATTTTTTTTTTGCTTTTTTTTCTAGAGGATTTAGGCCTGAGCAGACAACGCTGATTGTTTGACTGCTCATCATTCATAAGGTGAATGTGTCTGTGTGTGGCTGGATGTGGGTGGGTGTCTATTTATGAGTATGTTATAATGCAACGTCGGCGCTTATTATTCCAAACACACACACACACACACACACATTCACACCGAGCGAATGTGAACGGCCGCTGTCAACAATGACAACGGCTGTGGGCTGAGTTTGATAACAACTCGATAGAATGCCGACGACAATGCTGACACATCGAAAGATTGTCATTTCATCAATTATTCAACAACACGCAAATCAACAACAACAGCAACAACAAAATGCTCTGCCAACAACAAACCAAGAGTCATCGTCAGTGCAAACGGTTCCTCTAATGGCAGACATAGCCAACATTGCAGCACCTACTCCCAGGAATCGCAGACCTGGATGGGGGGAGAGATCAGCAAAACTACGAGAGCACAACAACAACAAAAAAAAGTCCAAATATTAAGTGATACAATTTGTATTTGGAACGTTTGCCGCAGGCAACCAATGAATAACAGGCCAGCAAGAGGTTGGAGCACAACAAGCAAAAAAAAAAGCAGGACAAAAAAATAACCTCATCGACATGAATATCTGAGTGTTTTTATTTATGACTGTGCGTCAATATTCCGGCCTGGCCGGATTGCCGATTGGGGGGGATGGGACATGCTCTATGATACAACTACAGCAGAAATCAATCAATTCAGCGCCCCAGCACCGAAACCGTAAAAACTAAGAGCCGATCAGCTTAGCGAAGTGCTGAGTAACAAGCGTTGCGAGTATCAAGTGGGAAGCTATAAATCGATGCTTGACATGGTTAAGTGCTTGTGCTTAACAATGGCTAAGCCGCCCAAAGTGGAGCTTAGGCCTTGTTGCTGCCAGTTACTGATAAGACGTAAACATCTCGAGTCCATGACATAACAGTCATAATTCGCATAACTATTGAAATAAACCTGTGCCTTGTTCTCGATGGTATTGCTGATGCGCCTTGCATTTATCGCAATCGATTGGTCTTATCGCTATCGATATATATTCAATGCATTCCTTTTCTAATCTTATCTAACTAATATGTTAGAAATGTAGAGCCATGTATTTTACGCAGTTTTAATTTAAAAGCTTGCTTATTTTTTCCAAGTATTTATTCCATATATATTCAATCGTTAGCCTCGAAGTTAAGCGACTATCGAAAATATCGATAAATCAAGAGCGCCTGTAAGCACTGATTCAATTATTTTAATGCCTACCCAACACTGTTTTCAAAAATAAACCACAGCTTAACCAATGTATATCATAATGTGCCTCCCATTAACATCTGAATTCCGTGATAGCCCATTTAAATACCCGCCCATCCGTCTTTAAGCAGGCTTAAATCTTAATAGGAATTATTAGTAGCTAATGCTTGCCATTTGGGTTGGCCCATACAAAAACAAGAAGATTAATTGTTTGTTTATACAAAACGGTTGATATCATTAATTTTATGCGGCATAGCAAAAACATATTCGGTGCGGGCAGACTTTGGAGCGCAGATTGTCGGGATCTTTGCTGTCGCAGACATTAATCACTTTACGGACTTTAAATGGGACCATCAAATGAAATCTTTTTTCAACAACTTTTCAACTTTGTTATGCCATAATCATGCTTGAATTATGCATGCTCAGCCAGGATTGGCAGGTGGCTCGGTCTTAGTCATAGATGTTCATTAATTTTCATGAACTTGCAGTAGTGCAGCTTCCTGAATTATTATTCTTTGCACATCCTTTGAGTCGACAGTTTTGAAGGCTTTCAGTTTTCATTTCCGAAATGACACACAATATTTTTTTTGTTGTTTTTGTCTTGTTCTCCTGGGGCCCAGGATGCTGAGCAGTGTTGATGAATTTCCCTCTTCATCATAATTATAAGCACCCGGCAGAGAGACAACAGTTTTGTTTTTTAGTTTTTAATATACCCTGTCAGAAATATGAACAGAAAGAAGTTTGTGTGGCATTGATTTGTGAGCTAAAGACATTTTATTTACTGTCGTGTAGAGCTCATAATTATCTCAAGATTTTCTACCTAGTATGTGATTGCAGCTCTCATTCACATTCACCTTATTTTGTATAACTATTACAGAGTATTCAGAAGTTGTTGGTGTTCTAAGCGCTAAACCAATTTAAAGTGGATAAAAGGTAAAAAGCTTTTGTGCAAATGTATAGAGTAGGCAGAAGGAAGCATCACCATCACTATAAAATATATATACTCTTGTTTGGGATGGCGAGCAGAGTTAATCTAGGCATGCCCCTCTTTCTTTCCATCTGTCTGCTCGTCTGTGAGAACGCGTTGATTCCGGAAGCAACAAAAGCTATAACACTTGAAATATATTTCTTTGTACCTTACGCAGTATACATTTCATCGATTTTTTTTTGCCATTTGCATAATATCGATAAATATCGATTTAGAAACATGGTTTGTTAAACATAGCTCTAATATTCTAAAATATCTTGTTATTTAGGCGCTTGTATGTTATATAAAATTAAACAGTATTTTACTCCTTGGATATCACAGCCTAGTCCCCCAGAAGTTAGAAATAAACTACGTTAATAAAGTGAGCATATACGTATTTTTTTATGCCATATTGAAGCTTTGCAAATTGTATAAGGATCGGATTGTGGGCAAACAAGTTATTCAGGAATGTTTCTTATACACAGTGTGAAGTTAAGGGAGACGCAGTACAGCAATCGGCGTAAGGGCATCTCAACACTGGGTTTAGGGTATCTCCTGGTCGTGCACACCCGGCTGTTCTTTCTGTTGCGCTTGCTATCCCGTATATGTGGCATAATATGCTGTCCCACTTTGTGTTGCATAAAAGTTGTTCCTCTTTGTGTGTAGCTGCAATTAAAAGTGTCAATGACAATGTTGCCTCCGTTGTCGTTGTTGTTGCCGTTGTTGTTGCCGTTGTTGTACTTGGTGTTCGGCTCGTTAGCTTTTATTATTGTTGGCAGTGCCATCGTTATGGCCATTGCCGTCGTCCCCATCGCTCATTGTAATTACGATAATTACGACAAGGACTGAAAATGCAGCTCCTTGCCTTGCACCTTAATGAAGCAAAATTCAATGCATTCAGATTCCAGCGTGTCCTCGAATCGTGTCCAGGTCCAGCGTGTGCTCCCCCGTCGCACTGCTCGGCAGCCCCCGCCTCGCTTTATCCACTTAGCGGCACACGACATTGCGTCGTTAATTGAAAACTGGCGCATTAAGCGAAAGTTGCCCTCCTTCCCGCCTGCCAGCCACCATGCCCAGGCAAAGCCTACTTGCTTTTATAATTTCTGCTTTTTAATTTTTCACATTGTAATGCCCGCGCGCTGGCATATTTATTTATTAAAATTTAATTAAATACCTTTTAAGATTCTTGCACATGACTGCAAAATATTTTTAATGAGTTTTCGCTTTTGTGCGTGTAATATATACACAAGTTCCTCCATGTGCAACATATCGCAATGTTCGCAAAACCACTTAAAAAAACATTAAGCATATTTTATTTGTGGTGACACTTTTGGATACATAAATACATCCAGAATATATCATTTTCTGTAAAAATGAAATATTTAAATATTTCATTTATTTTATTCCTTGTTTTATTTCTTTGTGTCTGTATAAAAAATAATTATTTAAGCTAGTAAAATTTATTTCTCTTGCTTTTTTGTTTGCTGTTTAATTTAGGCATTCAGTTTTATCAGGTTGCCTTTGCTATCTGGCCTTTATGGCTAAAACAAAAGCGAGCTCTTGTGGGGCAACAAAAGATAACTTTTTCGTAAAAGCACAATAATAATAAATAATAAAGACTTGGCTTGGACTGTGCTGGTTGCAGGCGCGAAAGAGCCTGAAAGGAAACTCAAACGGAAATGCAAAATACATACCACACGCTAGCCGTAGACCTTGTTCTACAGACGTAAGCATTAGCCGTAGCCAAAACTCGGGCCAGACATTGAATTGACCTTAATAAAGTCGACGGCTGTGGCTGTGGCTGCTCTTGTCTGTTGTCGACCTTTTTCATTCGGCCGCTCACTAACCACGCCCTGTTTCCACCTTTTTTTTTCTTGCTTACAGAAAATGCTGATACTGCTGCCATTGCTGAGTATATTTGGTAATAGTCTCATTGCTGGAGTCGGGGCGAATCTGAGCTTGGGCTTTAAGGTCATCAGAGTGAGTTATGCAGACAAAAAAAAAAATTAAAATAGATGTTTTTATCAATTATATTACTTAAATTCTATTCTCTCTAATTGTGCTTACCAAAGCTGCCAAGGCATATAAATCCCGGTAAGTCCATTTATGTATATATTTTTGTATTTTCTTTTCACCAATTGAACTGTATGCCTGACTTAAAGCCAAGCAAATCATCGGGCGAGTAGTGCGTAAGCCTCGCAAGCCTCAATTTGAAATGAAAATTGTAAAATTACATTCACTTTGCGCTTCATTAATCAAAGGCACTTCGCCAGCCGCCACTTCAGATGTGCGTCTTCAAAATCAGCCTAAAAATAATTTGCTAAAGAAAAAAATACTCGAAGACCAAAGTGCAACAAAAAATATACAGAACAAAAAGGAGAAAAACACAGGACAGAGAGACAGACAGACAGAAATTTTCCCATTTAGGCAGCCATCAATTTTAAATATTTTTCGTGTTGTTAGCCAAATAAATATTCATTTTAAGGCGCACAAAATGCCAAATAAAAAACACCAAGAAACCAAATTGTACAAAAACAAGTAGGGCCCCTTAGACGGGAGTGCTCGACCCTGAACTTTGTTCTACCAACAACAAATGCTGCTCGTGCTAGAGGCGAAGTGTGGGGGGATAGCTATACATTGAAAGATATTTGATTTGTATATACTATACTAGAAGCTACATGTGAGATTTGGTGACTCTAGCTCTTAAAACCTAAGAGATTTGCTCAAAAAACAGGTTCTCGGTATCGTTTTTTATCGATTGATTGGAAGCGGGAAAAGTTATCGATTATTGGAAACAAACTCGTACAGTGCGCGCACTAGGAGGACCTATGTTCAAGTTTTTAGCTCTTAAAGGTTCTGACATCGACGCGTTAATACATACGGACAGACAGATGAACAGACAAACAGACATGGCTAGATCGACTCGGCTATTGATGCTGATCAAGAATATATAAAAACTTAATGGGACAGAGTTGCTTCCTTCTGCCTGTTACATACATTTGCATAAAAGCATTATACCCTTTTTTACCCATTTTCAATGGGTTCAGGGTATGAAAAATGTTTAGCAGCAAAAGCAAAAGCAGGAGAAAGATTTCAGCAGTCATCGATATGGTCTTTTCCCAAGTAAATTTAGGACATTTTATTAGACAGGACTTAATATTTGAAATATTCTATATAGCGTTAACATTTATTGAAGCTTAGCTGTACGCTATATTTATAAGCTGATCCTCATCGAAATCTTGTTTAATGAAAGTTAATATAATTATGTTTTATCTCAAACAAAAATCCAATTAATTGTTGGACCTTTACTTGCTGTTCAGCTGCAAAGCTTAAAATATGCTATGCAGCATAAAAAAATACATCCTTTATACTTTGTGTTTCAAGGCAAAAGAGAATTTAATTTCAATTTGCGAAACGAATGTTATTTTTTTGGTAGCTAAATTTGCAAAAAGTTGCAGAAAACTCGTCTCAATACCCTTTCTGCTGGGCAGTAGGCTAATCCCAGCCAATGCTGTCTTCTGGCTGCGGCAGCCAACTAACGAGCAAAGTGATTTTAATCGATTTATTTTATTATTTGTCGAACTGCTACGAAAAAGAATAAAAAAAAAGGAAGGAAAATAAAATTCATTCAACATGTTTGCCTGCTGCTTCACATGTTGTCGAGCAAAGCTTTTCAAAATTAAACAGCAGCACGAACTGTGCCAAAAACTTTTCGATTTGGGGTGTTACAACAAATACAACCAATTTTCCCTTCTGGCCATATCGCTGCATATGTTTTATGGGTGTGTGAATGCCGCATTCCTGCAGCCCCGCACCCGCACCCGCACCCGGCCCCGCCCCACACTCCACGCTGCAGTTAAAAGCCAAAAGTTTTGAGTCAAATGCCAATACAGTTTGTGCGTCCATGAGCTCCCGACGCCTGTTGTGGGTTCCTAGCTGTTGCTGGTATCAAAATCCCCCGCAGCGCTCTTCACGTCCTTCACTTTGTAGGTATGTGGGTGTTTCTCTCTGTGTGTGTGTGTGTGTGTGTGTGTGTGTGTGTGTGTGTGTGTGGGGAGTGTTATGTGGGAGTGGGCGAGCATGTGCCATGGGCGCATATCAATGCTCCACACGTTTGTGTTGCCTGTGGCGCTCCCCGCTGCGCTGATGCATTGTCCAGGCAAAGCGGAACAAGTTTATTTAAACTGTAAAACTTGTTCTCTCATTTTTTTTTTTTTTTGGTTGTGCGACGGGAGGGCGAGTGCGTGTTACTTGTGCAAAAGTTATCGAAACACGAAAAATGTGGAGCGTGTGCCCATGTATGTGTATTCGTGTATGCGCTGACGAAATAAGCTCACAAAAAATAAATTTACGAAAACGTGAGGAATTCTTATTTAAACAACATACTAAAAGATTTACTGAAGCTGCAAAACGAAAAGATTTCTAGAATTTCTGCACACAGCATTAATTATTCAAATAAGCAAATGGCTCGAAAATAATAGAGAGTTGTGCTTAAGCCAAACTTTAAAGTAAGGCACATATCCAATATAAAGTCTGTGTCATTTCTTACTTTATTTCCGTTTTCCTCTTTATCAATTGGAATAAAACTCTGCTAAGCACATAGAACTGGGTTTTTTTCGACTTGCTAATATCGTGGCCCGGGCAAACAACATTGAGCACACAATTTGCAATAAAATTGCGCATACGCAGCGTTGTCCAAGGAGCCTTTTGAGCTGGGACTTTATAGCAGGATCTCAGCTAGAGTGTGTGTGTGTGTGTGTGTGAACGGGTGCACACTGGTCGGTGGGCACTCAAAACTTGTCGCACACACGCTCGAGTGCTGTAAATCTTTGCACAAAATGAAACTTTATTTGGTCATGGTCATCAGCGACTTAAGTAAATCTAAAACTCTAAGTAAAACAAACACTACAGCCCCGGCATAAAGCAAATAAACTGTGCAAACGTGACCCCAAACCAGACAACAGGCACCAGGCAGAGACCAAGCCGAAGACAAGTGATGATGACCCCAAACAGTTGTTGGACAGCGGGCGCACAAAAATATGCTACACTTTTTGCCGCCTCTCTTAGGACACGGCCAAAGGGTGGCACGACTTGGGCTTGTCGCAAGGTAAACAATAACAAAGCACGAGTACATTACGGAATACAAAAAAAAAAAATGGGAAAACGACAAGTATAATGCATAACATGAAGTTATAGCAGGGATAAGTCGGCCCACACACTCACAGCTACAACGAGAATGAGAAAGGGGCGGGACGAAAGGACGACACACATAACTGCTTAAGTACACTCCAGCAAAGCGTAGACAGTCTTAAATGTTGACAGCCAACGCAGATAAAAGTGCTCACATTGCAATTCCTGTGTTCACTTCCGCCTTAAAGACGGCCGTATACCCTGTAAACTATATAATACATTTTAAAGAGAGTGTTGATTTGGAAAGAGCTTTGCTTGGTTTCACTTGAAGTTAATTTGTGTTAGGGTATCATGTGTTAATCATGTGCTGCATTTTACTTCACTTTCTTTTTTGCTGTTCTGGTCGATTCGTTAAGGGTAAGCAGCGTTTGCTAGTAAGGAGCAATGACACACTCACACACATCGAACTTTACTTCCTGATATGTAAAGCGATGAATGTGTGTGTGTGTGTGTGTGTGTGTGTGTGGTAGACAGCTTTTGCTCATGTGTCTGTGTGTCTTATGCCAAAGTACATTAAGAAGATTGCACTTTCGAAAATGACACAATTCGCCACAAAGTAAAAGGTGTAAGATGCAAGCCAAGGACAACGAGCACGTGGGTTGCTTGCAGGTGCCAAAAGGAAGTGAACGCAAGCTGGTGTCACTTCCGGCAACAGTAGCTGCTGCTGCTTCCAGGCGACCTTTCAATATATATACAAATCTAATTGCTAATGGCATAAATATGCGACCACGTGCTTATATTGTATTATATCACAAACAACGTGCAGTGGCAATTTTCGCATTTCACCATTGATGCCAAATGAATGATGATGCCACACCGTGGCACACATCCAGGCAGCGTATCTGGCTAACAGAGTCACGTTCTTGCCGAAATCAATTCACCAACATGCACAAGAAAAGTGGAAAATTGCCAGCGAGCACGTAGACCTAAGTACCAGTCGGTGTGTGTGTGTGTCTGTGTGTGTGGGTGGATGTAGGCGTATGTGTGTGTGCGTGTGACAGCAGCTCTATGTAACTGCGAAATTGCAAATATCCAATGACAAAACCAAAAAACCTCGAATAATTGTGATTGGCGGCTAGAAATATTTGTGTGTGGCGCACGGCGAAAGCAAACTTTTGCTGCCTAATGGCGGCTCATAAAGCACAACATTTGTCAGTATCAATTTTGATGAGGCACGACAATAACACACACGACATAAAGTCTATTGTCTGCTGTGTAAATATAGCACTGTATTGTAAGCCACACATTTATACGTGTGTGTGTGCGCGCTGGCATGTGAAGAAAATTTATAACAGCAGCTCCCTTCATATTAATTGGTTTTTTTTATTTTCTTTTTCATTTGACATGTGCTGAAACGAGTCCAAGGGAAATGACAGTCAAGTGAATTGCTAATAAACAACTCGTGGCAGCGTAATTATGGCAATAACAACATTCAATTCCAAATGACTTTTAGGGGTTGCATAAAGCAAAATAAATAACAGATTGCGGAGATTGCACAAAAGTAGCTGCAAATTAAAAAGGAAATGGGAAATGGGTATTTCAGAGGCGTGCGTGCTCGTGACACGAGAATACCAAACGTGGCACAACTCTGTGAAAAACCTGAATGAAAAACTCGACATATAGCACAGGAGTACCATATTTTCAACCGATAATTCCTATAGATACCCTATCATATAGTCAATCGATTCGAAGGGGTTTCGCTTATGTCTCAGGAGAATAGTAAAGCTTTTTGATGAGTCTAGATAAGTTATCTTGAGAAACAGAAAAGTTCACCTCACAAAAACTAATTTCTTGGAGCGTTTCTTCCTATAGAGCTATATGATATAGTAGTTTAATGCCTTTTAGATTTTGCTCATATATAAAGAGCAAGGTACGCAGCGTAAATGGTTAAGATATGTTTAAAAACAAAACAGTTTTTTGCTCAATCTTGTCCAAAACAAATGGCAGCTATATGATATAAAAGTCTGATCCTGGCGAAACAGACGTATAGACGTCGACTTAACTGTTGATACTGATCCGGAATATACATTGTTAATGGGCTCTCCTCCTATGCATTTAAAATTTTGTGATCAAATTAAAATACCCTCTAAATGTGTGCAGCAAAATCGAAAGGTTCTATTTTATGTTCCCTACCTATTAGCTGTAAAGCCGCAAAACTCGAGCAGAGGCATTCAATTCAATTTCTATAGCTATCTCGAGCTGGTTTTTGTGCTGATTTGATTTCTCTTTCTTTTTTGCTCTATAAAAAACGTGTCTTTTTCTTTTTTGGCTTTTTTTGATGCTGGACGACAACAATGGAAATGCCACTATGCCTGGTCTGGTGTCCTTTGCTGTCACTTCGGATACTTCGGCTGGGCTGTTCGCCTGCAGCCAATTGCAGCGTTGGAAACACGACATTCGCACATGGAGCCACGTTTAAATTGGATTGCAAAACCCAATGCGTTTGCGAGGTAAGTCGGGGGCATGTGTTTAGTCAGCTGCCACACGCACACACAGATGCGGCAGAGTCAAATGCAGTTGCATTTAACTGCGGCAGCTTTTGTTGTTGTTGCTCCTGCTGCTAAACCAGTGCCCCTTAGCTTCTCCTTTATTTTTTGTTACTGTTTTATGTGAGGGTTAACGTTAACACTTGCGTAATTGATATGTTGGTTAAATATATGTGTGGAAGAGCTTTGGAGCATTTTAATTAGAATTTATGCTGGCGCAGCATGAAAAGGATCTATTTAAATGTAACAGAAAGTTGATTTAATTCAAATGTTAAAAGACAGAGTCAAGTAGGAGGGCTCTATTCGGCATTGACTGGCTAGGAAATACCCTGCACCCCGCCTCGTGCTACCTTTATAAACATTCCAGCTTTCTTCTATTGTACGATTCTTATGCGATTTGTGTGTATATGCCAAGGTCAGAGGTTATAGCTGTAAAATTGAGTTTTCTTTGTGTCTACTATACAAAGGGGAATACATATATCAAATTAAGTGATGATAGCTACTATAGTTTTTGATATGTGCCTAAAAACCCAAATCTGAAAACAGATTTTTAACGAATATTTCAAAGAGGAACAAGATATCGATACAAATTATAAATACTTCTAGCTTACGGTATAGGATATGGACAGCAAAGAAACGCACACAATGGAGAGCGAACATTGTTACATCAATTAGATCATACAGATCGAGAATATATATATATATATATCTATATATGTATATATATATATATATAGGGCCGAGGATACATGCATATGTGTTGAGGATATAAAAATAGCATTAAAATGATAATAACATATTTCATTAAAATGTTTGTGTATGAAATTCATTTTTGAAGAGATTAATTTACCACATATAGTCTTGGAATTCAATTTTGGCTCGGATTAATCGTAGGTGTGAAAGCACATGAATTGGACTTATGCGCAATTATATGAAAAGTGTGGAAAGGAATGCCAAATCTGAGCTGAAGACCACACGAAATCCCAGGCATTGCTTAATCGCAACACATTTGTCTGGAATGTGTTGTGCTTGTGTGTGGAATTCACACCTCTTGCCAGCTGCGGCAGTTTATCATGGCGCCCAGGCAGATGCCTGGCAAGCCTTACAAATCGCAGTCACAGTGCAATTTATGCAATGCAATTTTGAGCGAAACTTTAACGAATTAAAGAGTATAAAGGGACAAAATGTTAATTGGACGCTGTACTTAGGGTATGAGGCAGTCGTTTATGCTAACCGCCAGCGAGTAGATTGCGTCCAGCCAATATATTCGCTATAATATGACTTTATTTCTGGCTAAAATAATAACAGCAGCAATTGTTTGGCTGGGCGCCCACATTTAATGTATTTTAATGCTCGCCTTTGCAGAATGGCCGCCATGCCTGCTCCACACTGTGCCCCAACGAGCAGCTGCCGGCGCCGGAGGATACGATTTCATGCAGATCGCCGCGTCTCGTCGAGGTGCCCGGCCACTGTTGCAAAATGTGGCTCTGTGAGAATCCAACAGCTGATGGTAAGTTGTGTTTTTGTTTGCGCCGCGCTTCCGTCGTCTCGGCCACAGCCGAAGACCCTCGTCCATGGCCTTGTTATTGTTTTATAAGTGTGTTTATGGTCGCAGCCGGCCACTGTGCTCTCCGTGCTCGCCGTGCTCTCCGTTCTGGTCCTGGTCCTCTGTCCTCTGTTAATGGCGCCCAGGGGCGGCAATTCTGCCAGCCATCAACGTCGCAGTCGTCCAGCGCACAACTTAATGCTGTTTAAGCGCCCAGCCAAAAGCGCAACGCATATTTATGAAGATGAATTATTCCATGACAAGGCAACAGTCGGTTTCCAGCTGAAGCCGGAGCTGTTGCTGCTGCTACTGCTGTTGTTATTGTTTTTGTTGTTGCTGTTGGAGCCCGAGGCAATGGACAGCAGCAGCATAATTACTTACACAAGGATTAAGTGTTAATTAAACGCGCAAAAATGCAATAAATAAACAAGATTATTAAGCGCTCTTAAGAGGCCCCTACTCGAAACAGGCTTTACGCCTTTACCAAACGCTTTGTTTCTTCATTAACTGTATTAATAGATATCTATATATATATATATACTAGCGGGTATACCCCGGCCTTGCCCGTGCTGCGTATAATTTTCTCCAAAATAATGCTGCCATATTTAGAACCATGAACATAAAGTCAAATCTTATAAAAAATCGGTTGAGTTTTGACCGAGTTATGGGAGTGGGAAATTTCGACCTACATATGTATATAGGATATTTGAGGGTACCATTTTCACATGAATTTTGACCAAGAAAACCCTATGAAAATCACTTGATGAAAATGTGAGGACACAGGCAGAGCCGGAGAGAAATTCGCGATTCTTGGGGATATATTTCTTCTTTATTCATTTATTTACTTGAAGTACTTGAAGGGTCGAAATTGATCGACTTTCAGTTTTTCTTTTTTTATATAGCCAATATTTAGGCTGAAGGTCTTTTGTCGACCATTAGTGAATAAATAAATAAAGTGAATGAAAAAATAAAGTGGATAAAAAAATAAAGTAACAAAAAATAATGAAAACAAATAAAATAATACTATAAGTTTTCTAAAAGAAACTTAAAAAAAATAAATTATATTAATAAAATAAATAAAATATTACATATATTGCCCAAATAAGTGGATTAATATATTTTTGAATAAATAAAAAAAAAATGTATTAAATACATACTTTTTAAGTTTATAAATAAAGTGGAAACACCTCTATTGGAGTAGTCCCTTTACTAATGGTGCGCTAAGCACTTGGCCGTTAAGTGGCCAATCATAACCATTAGCAACTCTTTTGTTTTGCGCTCGTTGCAGTCTATGCCACCTGCCACAACAGCAGCACCAGCGGCAACTGGACTGGCTGCAGTCGTGCATGTGGCCTGGGCATGGCCACAAGACAGACGAGCACCCATGCCGGCTGCCATCAATTGAGCAATTTACGGCTTTGCGAGAATCGCAGATGTGCCCAGGACAATAAGAAGACGAAGAGCAACAGCCACAGTAGACTATTAACCGCTGAGCGGCAGCAGAACTTGGCCAGCAGCCAGCTACATCAGCAGCATCATCAGCAAAGGGAGCGGGCAGGAGTACGTCAGAGGAACGGGAATCGAAAGGGGAATGTGAATGGGCTGGATATGCAACAGGAGCCCGCACATAGAATAAGAGTGAGTTGTGGCATTGCCAGTTGCGGGGCGTCCGCCTGATGTGAGTGTTTCTTTGCCCCACGCAGAAGGGTCACGAGTGCCGCAGCTTACAGCGCCTGGGCCCGGCGAGAATTCGACTGGGCGAGTGCGTGTCCCGCAAACTTTATCGACCAAAACTGTGCGGCAGCTGCCACAGAGGCACCAAATGCTGCATTCCGGCTGTTTCCACAACAATACAGGTGAGTTTTGCTGCTATATTCAGATTTGAGCTGCCTGCAAACGGGCTGTCGGGCGGACTGCAGCCTTTGTGCGTAAAGAATGAAGCGCATTTTCTTAGATTTCCTTTTTGCCACTTTGTCACGTTTGCCTCGCTTTATTTTTTAATTGAATTATTCAATTTAATTAGCGTTCATTTTAATGCAAGTCAGGCGAAGGCAATTAAAATGCAGCGTATTTTTATTTTACGAGCAAAGACCAGCAGCTGGCCAGCATAGGCTTATAATACCCTGTAATATCAAGACTTGAGAAACGGTAAATGCACATGAGAAGCCGACTAAACCTAGAAATTACCTGTACAGATGGCACTTATATTATTTTTCAGTCATATTGAAGGAACTAAACTTTTTTTAATGGTTTTATTTTTATTCATTGATTATTTATTCAATTTAAATAAATTAAGGATAATTATCAATTTTATTTCTCTTGTTAAAATAATATATATATATATATATATAAAATTGATTAACTATGATTTTTATTATAAATCATTGTATATCTATTCAAATTAAACAAAATGAAAGAGAATTTGAGAATCCTCTTGCTCTTGTTGAAGCATAATTTCTTAAAGATGATTCCACATTTTTAAGACTTTGCTAATAAAATAATCTGACATAAAAGCTGTAACTTAACTTTCCATATTCCTTTATATTTATTTATTTATTTTATTTTATTTATAAATTAAGAAAATCTTTTCATGAAATAATATTTCTTGTATATTATTTAGAATTTTTGTTTATTGAATATATCTGATATAAAATGTATGAATTATTATTTTATTTGTATTAAGTCCAATTTTATTTATATTAAATTACTGATATAAAGAAATATAGAAATTTAAAGTTACATTTTGTATCATAACTTGACTGATGGCTCTTTAAGAACTTAAATTGACTGCTGTACTTGATGTTTATAGAGCATTTCACAGTCTGCTATATTAATGTGCTGCACTTGTTGTTGTTGTTGTTTATTTGATTGCTTTTGCCTTTTGACCGTCTTTGGGTATTAATTAAAAAAAGGAATCGCATTAAAACGTCAATTTGCAATTGCAAGTGGGAGCTGCCGAAGACGGCCAAATGAAATATCAAGTGCTCAGGTGGCTGTCAAAATCGATTTAGCACCTGGCGCCCGATTGCCCTATTGCGCTTTTCCAATTTATTAAACGTTAGCCCAGTCAACGGTTGTAGTTGGTTGCAGGATCGGAACTCTGCTGTGATTTCGACTTGTTACATTCTCAACTTTTATTTTGCTTCATTTTTTCTCTTGCAGGTCGAGCTGCTGTGCCCCTTAAATGCCGTTGATCCAATTAACTACGTACAAAAGCGAATACAACAGCAGCACAGGCAACAGGACGAAGCCGCTGAGGCGCAGGCCGAGGCGGGGTCTGAAGGTGAGCGCTGGCAGCCGGAAGGCCAGTTATGGGACACCGTTGCCTTGGAGCCCATCGATCAGGAATTTCTGCAATCGCATCAAATACAAATCGAGAATAAATTCGTTGCCATCGAATGGATACTGAAATGTGAATGCAGCAAGAATGTGAGTATCAGGGGCGCAGGGGCGTGGGCACACTACGACGCTAGAAGGGGGGGTCTCCAGCTTAAGCGGATAGTAATATTTTCTGCTGCCATCGGCTGGGCCATAAGTCTGGTCATATTTTCGTACGTTCACATGGCCCTTCCATGCCAAACAGCAGTCAGCCAGCCAGGCAGCCTACTCAGCCATCGCCCAACCCCTTGCCCTATGCCGCTTAACCATCCCCTGCCCCATTATCCACAGCAGCTGCACGAAAATTGCTTTCACTTGTCATTTTAATCGCATTTTTCTTGTTGTTCTTGTTTATAAGCGTTTTACTTTGTTTCTCTCCATACCCTTACCAGAGGATATCACGATATGTGTAAAGCATTTGGCATTTCCGATATTAGAAAAGTATTTTTTTTTTTATATATTCTATGGAGCGATGAATATGATGTCTTTCTGTTTCTAGTATATTCATTTAACTTTGAATCCCAATTTATTTTTCTTAAAAATCGAACCTTTAAACAAACCAGGTGTCTAAAACAACAGCTTAAATATAAGCTGAACTGGACGTGAAAAATTAAAAAATGGTTGAGCCTTAAATAAACATTTTTTGAAAGAGACCCAGCCCCAAAGCATCAAATAACTTGAGCTTAAATTTTTGCTAGAGATCATATTTAGGAATTGGCCAATTAAAAAGAAAAATCATCAAGTTTTTGATTAAAATTTTCAATATACATATATAAGACAAGGCTGGACCAGAAAGAGTTGGAAAAGTTAGTTCGAACCGTGAAGCGAAACACTGATACGTTATTTTATCGATTTGCAGCCCTAGTAACATATAAGATAAACATACACAAGGAATATAATTAGAGCTGAATCGAATATCTATAGCATATTATTGTGTCCGAAAAACTTCTGCTTCTCTTGTTAAATAAACAAACAGACAGGTTTCATGGTGAAAAGGCAATATTTGTTCTACAAGGGTATTTGATATTCGTTGCTAAGAGATCGTTTTTGGTTTTTTTTTGTATGTATTTTCCTTTGTATTTTACGTTCTATGCACAAATGTTTTGTTTCGCAAAAAAATATTACTGCAATTTTTTTGTCGACTGTTTTGTGGGACTATCTGAAAAGGGGGTGTGGCAGCTGGTGGGCGGCTGGGTGTTGGGCGTGCAACATGGGCCGGTATTCAGAGTCAGTCGCTCGTTTGTAGTGTTCGCACCCAGCTGTCTGTTGTGTTTTCCCATTATTTTGGCGTATTCATCTTGAATGCCTTTTCCCTTCACCATTGTTGTAGTTTTTGCTGTTGTTGTTGTTCTTTCAGCTATTCCGTATTTGTATTTCTATTTGGCGAGTGCGAGTTCTGCAATTGCAATGATTGGATTTTTATGAATACATTCATCAAAGCGCTTTGCCACTGCGCCGGCAACCGGCAACCACTGGCAACCGCTGCTGCCAGGCACATTGGATTCCATACTTTTGGCACATGAATATTTTACTTGCATTCGTTTTCATGTAGTTGCACATGGGCCCTCAGTTCATGTCTGTGTTTATCAGTGGTTTATATTGATGGCAACTGCAGCATGCGCTGATATAAAGCTGGGAAAATAAAGCTAGGTTTATTAAATCATGTTTGATTTTTAACCCATTAAAAATTAGGCAACTTAATGCGCTTTATATAACTCAATCACGTATATTCAGGGAGAAAATACTCAATTTTGGCTAAAAAGAAAAGTTTAATATTACTGGGAGCAGGCACAAAGCTGACTTGCGATGCAAATAATGCAAGCTGTAGATATTTTTATACAGAATTTGCGGGTTAAATGTGATCTTTAGCCAGAATTGGCAAATACCAAATATGAATCCATAAAAAATCATAAAATCCAAATATGAATAGATAAATCCCACTGTTTGGACCCAAGTAATTGTACTTTGGGGAAAAGTCTTTATCAGTAAGTTTAAATTTTCGGCCAAACTATATTTGATACAAAATTGGGTTCGTTTACTCCAAATAGAAATTTCCCAAATATGAATCCATAAATCCACAACAAATATGAATATATTCCTAAAAAAATTTTAATTTTGATCCAAACTATTTTATTTACGAAATTTGATTTCTTTTTATTTTTATTATTTTTTGGCTTGCTTTAAGGTTTGGTTCATAACAAAAAATTAAATGGAATATCGGTCTCGAGCAGCCCTTGTGCATAGAAATATATTATTAACTAATTAGCAAAACTAATTAGCCCAACTAAGTATATAAATAGTATAACATAGTTAGAGATAAAATGATGTTGTGTGCTGCACAATATTTGCCAATATTTAAAGCGATAAGCATTCATTTAAAGATAACTGTACAACTGTTTATCTCATAAACACTCTTGAGAAAATTTGTGAACTTATCAAATTACAAGAAATGTGTATAAGAGAGGGGAAGAGCGCTCTCTCGCGCTCGAAATTCGTCAACGTCAGCGATTAGCCAAGCAAATATATTCGAGCAGCTCATTAGCCACGCGTTCCGCTCAGCTCATTTGAGCGCTCAGTTGACAGCCGAGAGAGAAAGTGGCCCCGTGAGTCACCTGCGAAAGACGCTGAGGCACATTTCAGTCGCTGGCCGAACGTCTAGCGGGACAGACGTGTCAGGTGTGGGGTTACGCATATTCGTCGCATAATGAGCGCCGCTTCCATACGCTCCTCTCTGAGGAGAACAAAGCATACGGCTCGCATTGTGATCATCGGCGCCGGCACAGCTGGCATTGCGGCAGCCACACGACTTCTGGAGCAGGGCTTCAAGCATGTGCTGCTGCTGGAGGCCGAAGATCGGATAGGTGGACGCATACATACCATTCCCTTTGCGGACAATGTTGTCGATCTGGGCGCACAGTGGTGCCACGGCGAGCGGGATAATGCCGTGTACCAGCGTGTCAAGGACTTGAATGTGCTCGAGATTACAGAGGCGCACTATGAGACCTTCAGGTGTGTGCGCTCCAACAAGCAGGTGCTGCCGGATGACATTGCGAACAATCTGAAAGAAATCGCGTTTAATTCGATTCCGGAACGGCAAACAGAACTTGTCGACTATCCGGGCTCGCTGGGCGACTATATAACCAAAAAGTACTGGCAAGAGGTGGCCAAGTTGCCGCCAATGAACCGCACCATTGCCGAGGAGTTTCTGGAAAACTTTCACAAGTTCGAGAGCTCCGTGGAGGCTGCAGATCATTTGTACGAGGTATCGGGCCGCGGACATTTGGAATACTGGCTCTGCGAGGGTGAGCTGCTGCTCAACTGGCGCGACAAGGGCTACAAGAGCTTCTTGAGACTACTAATGAGTGCCAAGAAAGACGAGCCCGAAGATCTGGGAGTGCTCAAAGGACATGTGCTACTCAATAAGCGCGTATCCGAGATCAACTGGCAAGGAGCCGATGAAGTAGTCATCCGTTGCTGGAATGGAGAAGTGCTGACAGCGGATCATGTCATCTGCACGGTGTCCTTGGGCGTCTTGAAGGAGCAGCATGCCAGCATGTTTGTGCCCGCCCTGCCGGAGGCCAAGGTGCGTGCCATCAAGGGACTCAAATTGGGCACCGTCGACAAGCTCTTTTTGGAGTACCCGGTGCCACCCTTGCCCGAAGACTGGCCCGGATTCTGTTGCCTTTGGCTGGAGGAAGATCTGCAGGAGCTGCGCGCCAGCGAACGCTTCTGGCTAGAGAGTGTCTTTGGATTCTATCCAGTGTCATATCAACCACGCCTGCTGCAGGGCTGGATCATTGGTGAACATGCCCGCCATATGGAAACGCTCACCGAGCAGGAGGTGCTCGACGGCTTGCTGTGGCTTTTCCGCAAATTCCTGCCCTTCGACGTGCCCCAGCCGCTGCACTTCCTGCGCACCCAATGGCATGCGAATCCCAATTTCCGTGGCAGCTACACTTTTCGCACCACCTATGCGGACGAGCTGCGCACCGGTGCCTGGGATCTGGAGGCGCCGCTGCTCGACGTCGCCGGCAAACCAAGACTGCAGTTCGCCGGAGAGGCCTCACACAAACACTACTACTCGACGGTGCACGGCGCCGCGGAGACGGGCTGGCGGGAGGCGGATCGCCTGAATACCTATTATCGCTCGCGAGCCGCCCAGTTATGAGGCCCTGATAAGCAACTGCGATCAAATTGCGCGTGTTAATAAAAGTGTTCAGCAAATGCCGCCCTACTTCATTTTACGCCCATTATAAGTCGAGTATTAGTTTAGATAATGATAGAAAAATTATAAAACAGCGTGACAAACACTTGCATTTGGAGTATTGAGAGATACAAGTGCACACTTTTGAGGCAAAGAAATTCCTTTAAATTGGGTCTTGTAAAAAAGGAAGGGTATCATTTTATGTCCAGTATTGTACCCTTTACATCATACATCTCCTATTTAATTTCGATCGATTTTTTTCACATTAAGTAAGGGAACTTCTTAAAGCAAATTTCTGAATGAACTTGTTATTCATTGGAAATTTTCTGTCAACTGACTTATCCAGCATCACGAAAATTGTCCCAACTTAAACAGAATGTTTTAATTCCACTTTTGTCAATCGGTTTAAGCCCAAGTGGAAATGGCAAGCTGGTTGTGTGGAAGGCATATTCATCTGAACATGAAACAATTCCAGTGTTAGCCCATTTTAGCGTTTGACCCAAACATGTTGACCAACTCATTTGCAACGAGCAACCGCAGACAACAATGTAATTGCACTGTTATTACGGGCCACACAAACGAGAGTCTGCTTCGTACCTACTTCGGGGCGTGGCTGAGCACTTAACACATGCAAAGTCAAATAAGGACAAAAATGCAACTGCAAAAATCAGTTTGGCACATTCCGGCACAGAGTGGCCGGGCACAGGAGGCCAACAAACAAATACCACAACGGCGCGGGGGCGGGGGGAAAACGCAAAAGCCTGAGTGGGCCGCAATGGAAAATGTTTTAACCTAGAGCGCCGCCCGACAATGTTGAAAATTCAAATTTATGCCACGCAGAGGCCGAAAGGCATTAGGAGTCCGGTTTCATGTATTTGCCTGTCCGCCTCCTGGTCATATCTGCTCGCAGATTACCCACACAGTTACCATTACATATGCGACTTGGAAAGGGAGCCACCCACTGCCCGGCTAGTTGGCCACATCTGTTGTGGCTTTGGCCCAGCCATTTGGCAGCAGTTGGTTACGACTTTGTGTGTCCAGCCAGTCGAATACGTGCGACAATCAGAGGGTGGTCGAGCCCTTGTTTGTCCGGCAAGCTTCGGGTTCAGCTTCACTGGCAAAGTTTTGGCCCTAATCAGTCCAAGAGGAAAACTGCCTGATATAAATATTTTACCAAAATTTCTCATCTATTTTTGGCACACTTTTCAATTGTAATTTGTATTGGAACTGATCTAGTTAGTGTGTTATTTTCACTCCAAATGAAAACAACGACCGCCACACATTAATAATCCGAGGTGCTTCGGCTGTAGAACTCATTCAGCCGATCCGCCTCCCGCCAGCCCGTTTCTGTGGCGCCATGCACAGTCGAGTAGTGGCTCTTGCTGGAAGCCTCGCCGGCAAACTGTAATCTCGGCTTGCCGCACACATCGAGCAGCGGCGCCTCCAAGTCCCAGGGTCCGGTATGCAGCTCGTCCGCGTAAGTGCTGCGAAAGCTGTAGCTGCCACGGAAATTGGGATTCGAATGCCATTGGGTGCGCAGGAAGTGCTGTGGATGCGGCATATCAAAGGGCACGAATTTGCGGAAAAGCCACAGCAAGCCGTCGAGCACCTTCTGCTCGGTGAGCGTCTCCATATAGCGGGCATGCTCGCCAATGATCCAGCCCTCCAGCAGGCGAGGCTGCTCCATTACCTTATGGAATGCAAACACGCTCTCCAGCCAAAAGTGTTCCGTGCCGCGCAGCTGTTTCAGATCCTCCTCCCTCCAAAGGAAATCAATCCCAGCCCAGTTCGGAGGCAAAGGCTGTACGGCGAACTCCAAAAAGAACTTGTCGACGGAGCCCAACTTGAGTCCCTTGATGGCACGCACCTTGGCCTCTGGCAGGGCGGGCACAAACATGCTGGCATGCTGCTCCTTCAAGACGCCCAAGGACACCGTGCAGATGACATGATCCGCTGTCAGCACTTCGCCATTCCAGCAACGCAGCACCAGTTCATCAACTCCTGCCCAGTTAATCTCCGATATGCGCTTATTGAGCTGGACTCGTCCATTGAGCATGCCCAGATCTTCGGGCAGATCCTCCTTGGCCTTCATGAGCAATCGCAGAAAGGTCTTGTATCCCTTGTCGCGCCAATGGATTAACATGTCACCTTTGCATTCGACAAACTCCAAGTGACTGCGTCCCGACAGTTCAAACAGATGATCCGATCCCTCTGTGCCGCACTCGGCCTTTTTAAAGCTTTCAAACATCTCCGCGGCCGTGGTGCGGTCCACATTTGGCAGCTTGGCAACCTCCTGCCAATACTTTTGGGTCAGGTTGTCGCCCATGGAACCATCGTATGCGTTGGGCCCGACGGGCAGACAGTTCTCGGCTGTGGTTCTCAATGTGTTGGCCATTTCTTGCGGGACAATCTCCTTGTTGGAACGCAGAAACCGGAAAGTTTTCATGAAGTCGCCTGTTTTGGTCACCAAATCCAAATCCTTGACGCGCTGATAGACCACATTGTCCGTCTCGCCATGGCACCACTGTGCACCCAGATCGATGACATTGTCCGCAAATGGAATGGTATTAATGCGTCCGCCAATGCGGTCCTCCGCCTCCATGAGACTGACATTCTTGAAGCCAAGCTCAAGGAGGCGTGTGGCAGCTGCAATGCCCGAGGGACCCGCCCCGATGACCACAATTCGAGCCGTTTGCTTGGACGTGTTCAGAAAGCGAGCGGGCGCGGAAATTGGACAAGTGGTCATTGTACTAAGGGTTCAGAGATGTTCAGAGACGATGGCTATAGCGACTGCTATGGCCGCACGTGTGGAGTTCGTATTTATATGTGTAGAGGTGGCTTGCTTTTGAGAAGGGCCACTCGGGTTAATTGGTTTTGTTTCTGTGGTTTCTATTATCAACAACTACATTTATATCTATTTAAATATTACCCTTATTTTGACATTGAGCTTGCTAAAATGTTTTTTTTTTTCCTTTTAATATTTAATTCTATCTTTTTAATATGTCATGCCTTAAAGCTTGCTTGAAACTAAATTGATAATGCCAGAAACGAGTACAGGGTGTCTCGCAGTTGTGCACAGAATGAAATCAAATTGCAAATGTCAGAGTCGCATTTCAGCTATTATTTGGAATTTAGTTTCTGTGTGGATAATAAATACTGCATCACAGTATCTATAAAAACCTTTGCAGTCGAATAATTAACAATAAATAGACCAATTTTATTACTTAAATCTGATTATTGCTTATGTGTAAATGATTAATAAAAAATATGAGTTTATTTTTCATTGACTTTGACATTCAGAGCCAAGTTTCAGTTTCAAATTGTGCTCAATTCTCGATTGTCGTATAACCGATAATTATCGATGGCTAACAATCGTGCCACGCCCATTTATATTTAAAAAGAAATAACACAAATTAATTAAAACTTTATACGCTTTTATTAGTTTACAAATAATAATTTCCATATTTGAGCATATTCCTGTTGAACATGAAATTTAAATTGACCCCCAGACACACGTTTCAAATTGAACTTGTGCTCAATTCTTGATTGTCGTCTAACCGATAATTATCGCTGATTATAATCGGCGTTTAACGATCGTGCCACGCCCACCTCACGACGCATTGCGGCTGTTGTAATAGTCATTGAGGCGATCGGCCTCACGCCAACCGGTTTCTGTGGCGCCATGCACACAGGAGTGGTGCGTCTTGTGTGTGGCCTCGCCAGCAAACTGGACGCGCGGCCTGCCGCCGGCATCGAGCAGTGGCGTCTCCAGATCCCAGGGGCCGGTGCGCAGCTCATCCGTATAGGTGGTGCGCGAGCTATAGCTGCCGCGGAAGTTGGGATTGGAATGCCATTGGGTGCGCACGATGTTCAGCGGTTGCGGCATGTCGAAGGGCAGGAACTTGCGGAAGAACCACTGCAGACCGTTGACCACCTCTTCCTCGGTTAGCGTCTCCATGTGGCGGGCGTGCTCACCAATGATCCAACCTTGCAGGAGGCGTGGCTGATGCATAACGCGATGAAATCCGAATACGCTCTCCAGCCAGAAGCGTTCGGTGCCGCGCAGCTCCTCCAGATCGGCCTCGAGCCACAGGAAATTGATGCCAACCCAATCCTGCGGCCAGGGCATCGCAGCATACTCCAAGAAGAACTTATTCACTGTGCCCAGCTTGAGACCCTTTATGGCGCGCACCTTGGGAGCAGGCAGCGCGGGCACAAACAGCTGCTCATGGCGCTCCTTGAGCACACCCAAGGACACCGTGCAGATGACATGATCTGCGGTGAGCACCTCGCCATCCCAGCAGCGCAGCAGCAGCTCATCGGCACCTGCCCAATTGATCTCAGTTAGGCGCTTGCTTAGCTGCACACGTCCGTTGAGCACGCCCAGATCCTCGGGCTGTTCCGGCTTGGCATTCATGAGCAGCTTGAGGAAGGTCCTGTAGCCCTTGTCGCGCCAGTTGAGCAAAAATTCACCATCGCTTTTCTCAAACTCCAAGTGCGCACGTCTGGAGACCTCAAACAAATGATCCGAGGCCGTGAAGGAGCATCTCAACTTCTTCATGGTCTCCAGCATCTCCTGGGCAACTGTGCGATCCACGGCCGGCGACTTGGCCAGGATATGCCAATAGTTATTCGTAAGATGGTCGCCCAGCGAGCCGTTGCTTTCGTTGGGCCCCGTTGGCAAGGCCATCTCCGCAGCTGCGCCCAGCACATAGGCCGTCTCAGCGGGCAGGATCTCCTTGTTGGAGCGCACAAAGTGCACCGCCTTCAGAGCATCCCCAGTTCGGTCCAGAAGATTCAAATCCTTGACACGCTGATAGACCACATTGCCGCTCTCGCCGTGGCACCACTGTGCGCCCTTGTCGATCACACTGTCCCCGAAGGGCACAGTATTAATGCGTCCACCCACGCGATTCTCTGCCTCCAATAGCCTCACATTCTTGAAGCCCTGCTCCAGCAGCCGTGTGGCCGCGGCAATGCCCGAGACGCCTGCTCCAATGATAACAATTCGCGCCGTTTGCTTCGTCTTGCGCACCGATGCGGATCGCGAGCTCATGTTTTTTAGAGAGTGGAATATTTTCCGCGTAACGACTTGATAGGTTTTACGTTCAGCCACTGACTGAGGCCGAGCAGCAAAAATCCGGCTGATTTATAATCTGATCTGAGCACAATGAGCTCTCAATTAAAGCAAGTTTCCCAAGTTTCGTTGAGAATTGCTCTCACCTAATAATAGTTTTTGCAGTTGCAGCGCAAGGTTTTCTTAATTATTAAAATAGTGCAACTAGCTTCGATTACTATCAGCTATATAATTAAGAAAAATTAGGTCAAACTTATGAGCCCAAAACGCACAATTGGTGGCTCTAGATTCTTCAAGTTCGACTGGGTTGAGATAGAAAATATATATATTCTTTATACCCTTTATACCCTAAATATATAAAACTATGATTGACTGATTGAGTACTTGTAAAATTCCACCCGCAACTGTGGAAAATTGGTGGATACGTTTTTACGATTAGGCTCCGGTGAAATATTGATATTAGAGATTGAATATGTCAAGTTTTAAGTTTGGCCTCTTCTACTTTAAACTTATTTGATCTAGATTGAAAATGAATGCAGACGTGTTTTGGCAATTTCGGCAATTCACCTCCAATGTCGGAAATTGCACGGTAAACTGTTATGTGAATTTATTTTGTTATTTATCAAAATCAGTTTTGCTTTTATATCAATAATTATTTAGTAGTTACATAGTTCACGTAATTTTACGTATTTAAGTAATTATTTAATTTCCGTTAAATTTACCCTCCTTGGGATTCAAGTTTGTACGGACACAGTCAAATTTAGGTCGTGACTTGAGGTAGAAAACTACGCCCGATCAAAGCCGGGCAACAGCTGCATTTTATATATTATATTAATTAATATATATTATATTTAATGCTGCTTTATATTGTATTTATATAGTATATATTCAATTATATATACCCGTTTAAGCATGTTTGATGGATACAGTGCCTGCAAATCACACATGAAAATAATTGCAATTAAAATGACGTATACAATTATATATATTTAGTGTAAAACAAGTTTGTTTGACCTTGATTCGCATTGTTGTTACTAGCTTAATCAGTTTTAGTTGTTGCTATTATAATTGTTGTTGCTGCAATGTTCCCCAGCTAGCAAGCGGCACAGATTGTGGGATGTATTTGTTGTCAAGGCTAAGGTCAATGCTAGATAGAGAGTTTATGAATTCAAGTTTGATGTGTTCCATAAAAGTCTCTCTCTTCTATGATTAGAGTGCTGCTCTTAGCTTGTGCGATAAAAAATATTAAATAGAAACAATTATAATATATTTATTTAATATATGGTTATCTCCAAGTGCACGTGCGGTTATTACACTAATTGTGGTGTCAATAATTAGTTAAATGTTAATTTTATCCAAACTTTAATATTTTATGCATTTTAAACCGTTTTCCTGAACTTCTTTCGTCTCATATCAATCAGTCGTTATTTAGCCTGACTTTTATCTTGGCTAAATTGTGGCAATTTTAAGCTTATCGGATAAGGGTATTTTATTTCGAGCGCTTATCGCTTATCAGACCAAAATAGTCGCATTAAGACAAATGGCAACAAAAAGTAGTTAAAGTATTTCAAAATTGTATTGTTGCCCATTGTCTTTGTTATTATTATGATTATGATTATGAATGTGGTTTGCCTTTATCATTGGCTCTCGTTTGCTTTTGTTGGCCACTTAGTTCGGTTGGGTTGGATTATTTGTGGTTTCTATCTTATCTGCATTGGTTTTATTTGTGTGCATTAAGGCGATATTTGGCAAATGCAATTTAATCGAATTAATTAAATTACATAACCACAAAGCATTTAATGTGCGAATTATATAAATTCGATTATGAACCATAATAGTTTCTTATCATAGCTGTCTGTACCAAAATGATTAATACATAAAAGTGCTTAGTTCTAATTGCCCAAGTAAATGGCTGTCATGTGGCAAACTTTTGTGTTATTTATTTAATTAATCTAAGAATTTCATAACATATTTAAATGCCATTAAATTCAAATATTTATGGAAGATGAGACTTTGAAAAAGTCAACCGCCAAATGGTGTAAAGTTTATATGCAAAACCTCAACAACACAAACGTGACATCATGAGCTTGCGTGGTTCTTTATCAGTGCGTTGGACTAGCAAGCGATAATTTTCAAAGGCGAATGAATGAATTTTTATTCGCATTTTAAACACTATTCTTTCCACGCGGGTAACGCCGGCTAATCTCTGCTAATAATTAAAAATGTGCAATGCAACAGAACTTAATTTGTTTTAATCGCGTTTTATGAAACACTTATTTTTTTTGATAAAGTATAGAGCGTTCTTTTTAAAAAAAACTTTTAATATTTTTATTTCGTTTATTTTTATAATAACTTTCTACAGCGATCAAAAAGCTTTACACAAATCGAAATAAATCCATATAGCAACATCTCGCCCCTAACACATTAAACAACAACTGAATAGTTATAGGAAATATTCAATTTGTTGTGAAAATTGAATAAGTATTAAATTTGCATAAATTTACATTACATTTTGAACGCAATGTTCCTCTTGCTACTTTTTTGTTGTACACAGTATTGCAGTGCTGACATGGATGAGAGCAAAAACAGAAACATTGCCACGAATGCCACCAAACATGGTTACCACAAATACAACAACAACAACAACAACAGCAGCAACAAGAAGAAGAAGAAGAAGCATGCACAACAACAAAAACATTATTACCATGAAACTAATGGCCTACAAAATGAGTTGAACCCAAAACACGATGCGCTAGAGGATGTGGCAGGCTACGAAGCCGAGGAGCAGGAGCAGCAGGAGCGACATGTGGCCAGCGATGAGGCAGGGCTGAACAGTAAGGTTAGCAACGAGGAGACCTCCTCATCGGAACAACAGCCCGATATTATACCCTATCCGCTGAGCGTGGGCGAGACAAGCTGGAAAAGCGAAAAACTGCGCAGAAAGCAACAACAACTTTGGCTTCGCACATAGCGTAAAATGAGACTTGAACATTTCCCGAGCATGCGTTAAAAATTGATCAGTTGAGCGATAGAACTTAAGATTTGTACAGCATAGCGATATAAATGTATTTTGAATTATTGGGAAATTCAGATTAAGCTTGTAAAAAAAAAAACAAAAAAAAAACTAAAATAGTTGCTTGGGAAATGGTTTAGGATTTGAGCTAAATGAGCACTAAGTGTAAGTATGTGGACAATTATCAGATGGGGGAAAAAACCAGAAATACAAAATACGAAATACCTAACAACAGACAGACAGGCAAATACTGGCAAACACTACGATTCTGTATTTTGTAATCTTTGAGAGGTAAATAAATAAATAAATCTTAAAATACGGCATTAATATGTATTTTTGCGAGCACGTATACAGAAAAATTGCTTACAATAAAATTACAAATCTATCAAAATTGCAATTAACTAAAAAAATGTTGGCAATGCTATGTGAAAAACTGCCCGAAAGAATAATCTAATTTTAATATATAGATGTACAATAAATAGCTTGCTTTTCGGGTGTATCCAAGCGTTATTTGATCGAAAAAAATGAAAAAAAAAAATAAAACAGAAGAGTTACATTGTATGTTTCAAATATAATTGTGCTATATACTCGCTTATATCCAGATGCTTATGTAAGTGTATTAAAGACTCCGCTTGAAAAAAAAAAACACATCAGTTAAATGTACCAAGTATTAAACAGTTGAAATAGAGTATAAACATATATGCGAACATTGGGGTAACAATAATAGGCCCCACTGTGCTTAATTGCTCTCCAAAACATATCCCAACAAATATATCTCAACCGTGTGCTATAATTTATTGGTAAATTGAAAAAGAAAAACAAAGAAAATAGAGAAAAAAAAAGAACACCAAAGCTTGTGCATACTCATAACCCATATCAATTGTATCGATGTAAGTTAATTACTAACTACAGAATCTTAGGTGAGGATATTACGAACGGTAACACTAAATATAAATATATATTAAAAACAGAATTATGAAAATTACAGAAATTTAATTTCTTGATGCTGTTTGACTAAGCTGCCTTTGTTAAGTTTTCGATCCATTTATTCCATTGCTTTTGCCACTTCTCCATGCCCTTGGACTTTTCCTCGTCCGTGAGCCCGCTGTACTGAATCGAACTAATTGCCAGATGCTTCAGCAGCTTTAGATCTGCACTAAATGGAGCAATGCCCAGGAATGCAAAGTAAAAGTCATGTGTGAGGGGCGTGGCACGCCAGAAGGAGGGATCATCGGATGCGATAACAATGGGCACATTATTCGCTATCAACATGGCAGCTGGATGATTGCGATAGTCCTGGCCCAGCTGCAGCACCTGATTCGACACCGGGCACACCTCAATGGCAATGTCCAGTTTCTTGACCATATCAATGGCCAACGGATGCTTCACAATCGCATAGCCATGCCCGATGCGCTTCGTGCCGAGCAGTATGGCATCTATCAAGTTCTCATCGATCGAGGTGCCGAACCAGTTCGTTTCGCCGCAATGAAAATAGAAGTTAATATCTTCGGGCATCTTGAGCAATGGCTCCACGAAATCAATCAGTGGACGCCCGAGTTCCTCCTGGCCCACTAAATCGAAGCCTGTCAAAAATGTGGGAAATGCTTTCTGCCAAATGCATTTGGATTCAGGTCGAGTATTTAAAGATTTACTAGGTTTCTTCCTTTTTACTTACTTTAAGTGCAATGCATTTCTGTACATATTCATCGACAACTTTTGGCTCGACGCCTCGCAGCGGCGCATAGATGAGCCTGGCTCCAATAAAATCCGGATTGTTGGCCATGAAACGTTCCGTTTCCGATTTATATATAGCCACTGTGTCGGCCGTCTTTAGAGTCGTTCCATCTAAGCAGTATAGATCGGGTAGCAGGGATCTCAGCTCCAGATACTGCACGCCGTCCGCATACATCTCCGTTAGGGCATTGTAGTAGTAGTCGGCCCAGACGGGCGCATAGAGCAGCAGCCCATCGAGCAGTATGAAAATGCTCATGAACTGGTTCCACGCCTGATTGTTGGACAGAAAACTGGAGAACGGAAACATGCTAAAGCGGCTTTGCAGATACTTTCTCGCATTCTCTTCGCCGAGGCGCTCACGGAAATCGGCCATGGGCTCCCAGTTGCACTCCTCCATGGCCTTTATTGTGGGCTTCGATTCGGAAAAACGAAATGCAATGGCCCGGCAGCCCTCGTCGGCGGTGCATATCCACAGATTCTCGCGGTAGGTCAGGCCAATGAGGAACTCGGTGCTGCAGAGTGCAGTATCGTGGGCATGCAAAAGGCCGCCCTTGGGCATTGTCTTCAGCAGGCCGAACAGCGGCGATCTTTCCACCTTCTTGAGCACCTGGAATATGTGCTGGCCGGGAGTAAATTTGGACGGATTCAGAAAACCCTTCTCCAGCTCCTTGGACTTAGCTGCCATTAACACCTTATTGGCGGCCAACTCCTCATCCGTCAGCTGCATACTGCTGCCCAGACTGGAGGCGCGCTCCATTTGGATCATAACGGTGCGCAGGGTGCTGTACGCCTCGGGCGTTATATCCCTCAGACTGCGGCTCATCGATAGGGGCTCGTACTTCTTCTTGCCACATCTGCTCGCCTGACCCGACATATGGCGCAACGCTCGCATTAACAGGCCTGAGGACATTTTGGTAAAAATTTTGTACTCTTTTTTTTTTTTTAAATTCGATACAATATTTGAGTTTAAACTGAAACTTGAAACATTGCGCACATTTGTCAATGTGATGCACATTTGCCGGCGGCTCACGCATTTCCGCTTTAACACACACATGCTTCGCCACCCACACCCACACACAGACACACACACACACGAACAGCCCATTCGACAACTATACGCGGATTTTATTAGTTATTTATGTGGATGGCTCTGGTTTTTTATGCCCGCGCGCCCTCAACACCACATTAAATGTGGCCGTGCTCAACATCAAATTGATGAGCCTGCCACAGGCTGTGCCACCATTTTGCGCCCTTTAACACACACACACACACACACACACACACACACACACACACACACACACACACACACACACACACACGCAGATACATGGCCATCAATTTTATGGTCTCATACATATTCGGCCAGGCGTAAGCCTAACCTAACTCTGCCCTGACATGGCCCGTAACGCGGCATCGAATGCATTTTGCGTTGGCCCATAAAACTCTGCTCATTACCCGCGCTCAAATCAAAATCGAACCATGGCCAACAGATCCGCCATTGCCACTAAGCAGGAGCACGTAAAATTGATACATTTGGAGCACTGCTCAAAGCAATCATTGGGCCTCTGCAAGGCATTCCACATTCATTAAACATCGACCACTTTTCTGTGCACTCAGCAGCCCTCTGTAAGGCTAAGAGATTTATGCCCAGGTCGTATGTCAGCCTGCCAAATGCAGTGCACGGCATATCAGCTAGAGATGCAACTCAGATTACGTGGAAACTGTTTCTACGGAACGCTATTAATCGGTAAGAGTGAGATATGTCAGGTAAAATAGATATAAAACTCGTTTTCTAATTTTCATTTCAAATTTAACATGCACTTTATCATAATGTTACTCTCTATATCGGGTTGGACTCAATAGAATGGGCCTTAATTGAATGGGAGTTAAAAGATTAGTTGCAATAATTAAAAAGAAATATAATAAGACCCAAGCCATATTAATCTGATGGTAAATTTGTCCTCTTGGCAATTGTCATAATCTTTATAATGAAAGATTGTTTTTCCAAGCTCATTGCAAGTTTAACATGCACTTTAACATGATGTTGCTCACATCTTGGGTCGGAGCTGCACTAAATAAAAATTAAATATGACAAGACCAAACCCAAATTAACCTCATGGTATATTTGTCCGCCTGACAACTGTCATGAACCTTACAACGAACATAATAACACGTGCCCCTCCCTTGTTATATTGGATATATATCGCGAGTTCAAGGGAGAGTATCATAAGTAGTTTATTATGACTTTCAAGTTGCCATCTCCAGGCGCGGGCATGGCAATGCTTGACTGCACTAGTCATTACTTTAATCCTGAGGTTGCTTTTAGCTGGCAAGCCGAGAACATGGATATGAATTGCGGCATTACGAGCTAGTAAGCCGAACTCTTTATTCAAATGTTTTAGTACAAAGGCTTATAAACAGAGCAGTTAAAGTGCGAAATCTCTTATGTACTTAACGTGGAAGTCGAGTGTGCAGAAGAACTTAACACTATGCCTAAACACTAATCAATATTAATTAGCTTAAAACGAAATAGCGTACGGGATATGAATTCGGATGAGCAGGTGCGTGAATAGGATGCCAGTGTAAGAGCCTAATACACTGTGCCAGAGCTGAGTATAAACGAGGCATCCGGTGCCAATGTCCTCGTCGTGTAAGATAGGTCGGCTAGAATTCGGAGGCAGTCCAGACTAGCGCCAAAGGCTGGCGTTCAGGAGGGAGAACATAACCAGAAGCGCTGCCACCACCCGTGCTAGTCAATCGAGGTGCTGACTGGACGCACTGTTCGGCTGGACGTTGTTCACATAGTCCAGAAACTCATCCCATTTCGTCTGCCATTTAGAGAGCGCGTCGACCTTCTGGTCAACGGTGAGGGCGCTGTACTGAATGGAGTTGAGTGCCAGCTTCTTGAGCAGCCGCAGATCTGCATGCTGCGAGGCGATGCCCAGAAAGGCAATATAATAGTCATGGGACAAAGGTGTGGCCTTCCAGAAGCTTGGATCGTCGGATGATATGACGACGGGATAGCCATCGGCAAAGAATTGAGAGCAGGGATGATTACGAAAATCGCTGACCAATTTGAGCACCTGATTTGACACGGGATTCACCTCAATGGCCACATTCATCTTTCTGACCAGGCTCAGCGCGACCGGATGCTTGACCAGACCGAAACCATGACCAATGCGCTTGGTGCGCAGCAGCAGGGCATCGATCAGATTCTCATCGACGGAGGATCCGTACCAATTCGTCTCGCCTGCATGAAAATAGAAGTCAATATCCTCAGGCACTTCCAGCAGCTGATCAACGAAATCTCTAAGTGGACGGCCCACATCCTCCTGGCCAACCAAATCGAAGCCCGCCAAGAAGTCCGGGTACTTTTCCTGCAAACATGGGTAAGCGATTAATTCCCTTGCTAGGCTAGAGAGAAGCAGGTACACTTACCTTAACCTGCTTGAGGGTTTCAATGTAACGTGCCACGCCCTCGGCATCGGTATTGCGCAGGGGCGCATAGATCATGCGCGAACCTATGAAATCCTTGTTCTCCGGCTGGTTCTTGAACTTTTCCAGGGTTTCCACATAGATGCGCACAGTGTCCAGCGGTGTGAATACAGTTCCTTCCAAATCGTAGAGCTATGGAAATGTTCACATTTATTATCCAGAATTTGTTATTGATTTATCGTAACTTACTGTGGGAAGTGTGGAACGGAATTCCAAATATTGAACACCATCGGCCAAAAATTCCTGCAGCGCCTTGTAGTAATAATCGCCCCAGACTGGCGCATACATGAGCAGGCCATCAAGAAGTCCGAAGATTTCCATAAATCTGGACCAAGCTGCATTAATATCCTGAAAGTCTGTGGTCGGATAAAGGGTTAGACGCTCGCCCAAGTAGGTGTCCACCCTGTCTGCGCCGTACTTGGTGCGCACCTCGGACAGCAGGCTCCAGTCGCAGTTGTCTTCTGTCAAAGCCGTGGGTTTCTCCTTAGCAAAGCGCAGAGCTGAGGCGCTCAGGTCACCGGCCTGCTGGCAGATCCATAGATTATCATAATAGGTCAACTCAAGGATGGCCTTGGTGCTGCAGAGCGCCGTGTCATGGGCATGCAACACCGCACCCTTGGGCATGTGCTGGAGTAGCTGGAACAACTTTGTATT